TCCAATTCCCCAGTACCCTCCCAAACGCGCTAAAAACGGGCCCCAAGCCTAGCATGCACCCATTCCTACGACTTGCTTAAGAACCCCCCTCCCTCCCCATCCACAACAAACAAAAGAGGGATTATGATTTCCTCTGTTTTTGGGGTTCTTGAGCACATGGTGGGTTCAATGGGACAGGATTCTGGGCTGCTGGAACCCGACGTACCAAAGCACCGCCAAGAACAATCCCCCTAAACTCCCTAAACTCCATTCTTCCCCTAAGGGCCAGCAGTCTCTGATCAACTCTAACCCTCCCTAAATTGAAACTAGGGACCTTTTGTACGTGTAAAATGTCAAGGTATATTGCGGGCCACTTAGGGGGTCTTAATATTCAGGAGGAGGGGGGTTAAGCACCCCCGTAGCTCCGAGCCGCAGCAAGTCTGGAACTCTTTCCAGACACCACTCTGCGTCATTTTGCGCACCTGGACAAGAACGTGCCAGGTTCAGATCTGCAACTAGAGTCTTTGCTGCTGGCGTCTGTGCTTTTCTTTTCAAGCGGACCTCTCAGTGCAATGTAGGAGTGAAACCCTAAACCCTAAACCCTAAACCCTAAACCCTAAGAGCCCAGTCAGGCCTTCAACTTCAAGTAACATTTTGAGCACAAACCGTGCCGAAGCTTGAACGATGTTGGAGAGCAGTACTATCGAAACCTCCTCAGTAGGCTCTGCAACGCCGATAACCTTGCAAGCTGCTCGGCCGAACGCGCATCTGATTTCCTTCCCTAAACCCTAAACCCTGAACCCTGAACCCTGATCCCTAGCACCTTGCGGAACGAGCATGCCTTCCTTGGCTGCGCTCAGTGAAGCAGGCGGCAGAGGGGCACGAGTTCAGAGGCTGTGGCAACGTGGACCATAATTCGTCGTTCTCCTTTAGGTTCTTCTTTTGTTGGGGCTTTAAGTTGTGAGAGACAATGATTCGTCGGTTTTGCTTTAGGTTTCCTTTTGGACAGGGGTTGTGAGGGTGGAGAGCGGATCAGAAACTGGGGGCCCTTGCGCCCGTCCAGATGAAGACAATCAACAAGCAACGGGTTCTTAGGTTTTCTATCCCCCCCCAAAACTTCTATAATATCCCCCCCGGTATTCTACTCTTTTTGAAGGGGTCATAGAGGGAACACCTCGAAGCCTTGGAAGGAAGAGCGCGCATCGATCCTCAGGGCGCTGGATCTCTCGAAGTGAGGCACTACGGGAGGGCTGGGGCTTCCGCCCTTCGTTGCTAACAACATGATGACGCCTCCTTAGGAAGTGTGGCTTCTGAAAAACGAGGAGGAAAGTTCCTAGTTCCTAGTCGGACAGCCACTAAGTGTGCGACTCTTGTGATCTCAGGTTTCGAAGGAGGGCCCAGGAAGGTACTTTCTCCCTTGGGCCAGTGGCTCGGAATGGTTTCGCAGGTAGGGGGGCTGCGTCGTCATCTGAAGGCAAGGCAAGTCCAAGGTCTGGGACCGAACCCGCGAGCGGACTCGCACACCGAAAGCCCCGAAGTGAAAGCCCTGAGCCAAAACCATCTGCGGGGGTTTACGAAAATTATAAGGGGCCTCAATATAGACCCCCAAATAGTAGGATCCCCGGATCCCCTTATTAATAAGGACACCAATAAGGTAGGCACCCCCAAGAATATTGTAAACCCCCATATGCCGCTGCAAGGTGCCCATCTTCCTTTACCAAGCTGTCGATCTTCAGCCGGGTTCCTCAGTTGAGGCGCATGACCGTGTTGCCTTGCGCTGCAAGGGTTGCTGCCTTGTACCGCATCGTTTCTCTCCCTGTTGCCAGGGACAACCATGGGGCTGAAGTCAACACACGCGGAGCTATGAAGAATTGAGCCATTTTTTCTGTTGAATCTTGCCTGTCTTGCATTGGCATTGGTGTGGAGAGATAAAAGCGCCGAGGCGTCACGAACTCCCGAACTTTAGAGGGCCAGATGTACCCCTCAATGGCATGGTTCAATCGGGCTGGAGGCTGCCAAGCAACTGAAGAGATTGAAGGGGTTGAGCCACTGCTTCAAGCGAGTGAAGCGGGTCTGCTCCTGTCCGAGCGCCGTCTTCCAAAAGCGGTGCCGAAAGCACGTTTGGAGCAATTGCGGCAATACGCGCCAGACCCAAAGGCCCAAGTCCAGCTACATGCGGGCTCACGCAAGTCATAAACGAGGATTACAGGGTGAAGAGCCTCGAGCCTGAAGTTTAGCTTGCAAAATTGCAACCGCTCCCAGCGTTTCCACTTCCAGCCGCTCGAAGCATATCGAGGCACGAGTTAATTATCTCAAGCTCATGGAGGTTTTAAGCTTTTTTCGCCAGGAGGGCGTAGGGTTGAATGGCCCCTGACGAACAGGTTTCAGGGCTCTTCCAGCATGCTGGTTGAGATCTTGGGATTTGCTCTTGCAGGACGTGCAAGTCACAATCGGGTCTAAGAGAATTTCGAAAGAGGCAGCGTTGCAAAAATGGAAGCCCTGTTTAAGGGTCAAAAACACAAAACACACCGAACCATAAAAACTCTAAACCCCAAACCCTTTTGCAACAGGCTTCAGAGGGCTGCGCCTGGCAGTGTCATACTGAAAATCCCCTAAACCCTAAACTTGTCAAATGGCTCTAGCTGGGCATAAAACAACTGTAGGAAAGCTGCCAACAAAATCCTGCGAAACCGCAGGGACCATGCCTCCACCGGAAGGACCAAGTAGAACTTGGCCAAAACATCCAGAAGACCTGCCGAAACCGCGAATCGGGTTGGGCTTCTCAAGCCGCTTTAGGGCGTAGGGTTTCTGGTTTAGGTCTGCACTGAAGCTCATCAGCCTGCCTTTTTGCCAGTGCAGTGAAGCTCCAAGCATGACGCGAGTGCTTGGAATCGGTGCTTCGGGACGGGTTCGAGGGAGTCTCGCCTCCCTTCCACTTGGCGGAACATGGCGTGTTGCCCAGAAAAAGGCTTACAGTGTGGTGTCCTCGGGCCTTGGGGATTTTTTTGGGGGTTGTGGAGCTTGGTCGTCGTGTACTATGAATCCCTGCAACTAGGGCCCAGACACAAGTTTCAACTTGCATCTTCTCCGAAGGGAGACCGTTTAGGTTAGGGTTCCAAAGCATGTGAGAAGCCCAGGGCATACCCCTTAAAACAACCCTGTCCAAGCAGAATTTCGAAACTTGGGCCGTCCATCGTCACCGCACAAACAGTTCTGAAAGTCTTGGCCGACCCTCCAAAGAAATATCCATCCTCCCAAGGCCCGTCCCTCAACAGAGGTGCGGTACTCCAGATCTTTCTGATTACAAAGGAAGTTTCTCCAGCAAGTTAAGCTTGATGCGAGGAAACGGATCGGGCCCTCCTGTACTCCGACACCGCGCAGTCAACCGTTTTTGACGAGAGCTTCCCTTAGTTGTTCAAAGGTCGCGAAGTACAAACGTGCTCGCCATGAACCAGGGAGAGATCTGTGAGACTTAAGCGCATCTCGCTGTTGAGCCTGTTACAAGCCGGCGAGATTTGTACGTGAGAAGGAGGCGGACTTCTCATCGCGGTCCTGTTTCAATATCGAGGGCGCAGAAGGGTTGGCGTAGCAAAGACAGCAATCCCAGAAGGGGCGATTTGCCTGCCATGAGTGTTCGTCTGGCGAAGGACATTCATGCGATGCGTGCATCGTCGGTGACGGCTGCCGTACCCATTTCAATGAGCTGAACTGGTTCAGTGAGCGAGTGTCATTTAAACTGATTGCCGACAGGCTGACCCTGCCCGCCTGCAATGCGTAGCACGCAGCACTTCGTCAAGCCCTTCTCAGTCAGTTACCAAGCAGTCATTGCATAAGCGATGCACGATCTAGTCGAACCACGCGCAACTTAAACGGCAGCTACATCTGCATTGACACCGAATGCAAAAACCCCTAAAGGCCCATGTTTGATCCCACGAAAAATCCCTGTTAATCCTAAGCTCTCTCAAGCGGCCTGTGTCTTTCGGCGAGTAGTTGATGCCCTTTTGCCTCGCGTCCATCAGCTTCTCCTCATCTGCTCTAGTCTTATATTGGGTCTGAGGCGGGAGTTTCGTGCCACCAACAGTCTAAAAAACTAAAGCCGCTGGCACAAGTTGCGACGGGTTGACCAACACTTCTGTAAGCATCTGCCTACAAGAAGTAACCCTCTCAAACCGCAGCTACTACCGGGCACAATCATTGGAAGTACACGCCGAAAGAAGTGCTCGAGTGCTCTCCAGCCTCATGCCAGCGGCTGACGAAGTGGAAAACAAGCCCACAAAGTGAGGCGAAGCCCTAAACCCACAAGCCTCTCTCCCCGTGAGCTTGTTTGCCCTCTGACTCCTTGTCGCCCCGGCGATTCAAACAAAAAAACAACCTCTCCGCCAAGCATCAGTAGCCTCCCGGAGACTACGGCTCAACTCTTCGAGGATGGGCATGTAGGTCCTTGCATGCTTCTTGTTGTTTGTCGTGAAGTTCTTCTTGGCTCCAGTTTCAGGCCCAGAATTGCAGCCTTCCATTCCCAGCCCTGACAGCTGCACAGCTGCACCTCGCAGGTTGCAAACTTGCACGATGTTGGTGTTGACGTTCTGCCTCCCCTCCCCCCCGCGCCCCCCAACCGAAAAAACAGGCTAGGGTGTGGTCCCCTCTCCAAAACTTGTTTGGAGTTCTTGTTTGGGGAAGAGTTGGGTAGGGGATTTAGCCCCGAAAGGGCATTTAGTCTCTGGAGCCGCTTCCCGCATGCTTTCCAGCCAGGTGGACTCAGGGATTTAATATCTGGAACTGCTTCCCGGATGTTTCGGAGGGGGGTTCGAATATTCATTTTTGTGCTCGGAGAGCTATTGCGTTTGAGCGGCAGGCAGTTCATTGTCGTGATCTTCCTTGCAGTTTTTTGTGTTCGGAAAGTGCCTTAGTGCTCCCTTTCACTTTATATGGATTCCCATTCTTCTGAAACCCAGGACTTTCACGCCACCAGAAGGCATTTCATGATGGCGGCACTGTCAGCTCAGCAGCATCAGCTGGCTCTGCTAAACGGTGCTTGGGTGCTCGTGACGCTCCACGATGACCCCGTAGCAGTTCGCCACAGTCTCCATGTCGCGGGCCTAGCCAGCACAAGGGAAAAAGAAGCTGCAAGGGCTGCGACGCAGCAACATGAAGGTGCTGTCCTGGAACTCAGACTTGTCTCTGCGACCCATGCGCATCAAGAAAAACAGGGACATTGGAAGAAGATCTGTGCAGTCTCGCTGTGGGGGGGTGGGAGAAAAGGGTGCCTCTGAAATCTGTCAGCCGAGACGGCGTCACTGTCTTTGCATTCTAATCCGCTTCGTTAGTGTAACCTGTTTTTTCACAGCAGCCGGAGGTTCCCATAAAGACCCCCTGATTCCGCTCCGCTAGTTCCCCCCCCGATCACTCCTTACTGGCCACCGGTTCCAGGGTACAGGTGCGACAGTCCCAGAATTGTTGGGGCTCTTGGGGCCTGCGGGGAGGGGGGGGCGGTCAAACCCTGAGGTCTGCGAGTACGTTCAGGCCCCTGAGCATAAAAAAACAGCCCTCCTCCCTGCTCCTCCTCCTTCTCCCAAAACCCCACAAAACCAACAAACAACCCTCTGGCCTTCTTCTGAAACTTGCGCCGCAGCCTGGAAGGAACACTCGGCGCCTTCATTCCAGTCAAGACCTGGATGGGACACCAGCTTTGGGTTTCAGCGGGGCCCCCCTACCTTCAACGAGTCTTTCCGGGGTACCTTGGGGACCAATTGAACCTTCAACTTGGGGGGGTCATATACCCTATACTACTGCAAATTCTTACTAAGGTAGATGAACCATAAATCCTTTTGGGGTTCATCTCGTCCCCAAGAGAATCCTCCTCCTTCAAAGGGGGCACGCCCCCGCCTCATCCATGAGGTCGAAGTTCTGAACCAGGCTGTCCATCCGGCGAGTCAAGTCCTCCCAAGGGTCCCAAGGCAACCCCCCCAAGAAACAAGGCGGCGGCAACCTGAGAGCTAAAACAGAAGCCAACCATACTTAGGGTTTTTTTGGCGTTAAGAAACCCTAAGCCCCACATGGGTTTCCGAATGTTAAAAAGCCCTAAGGTTCGGAAGGCCCACTCAGAGTTGGGCTTCCCCGTCAGCAAAGGTAGAAAACCCCCAAGAGCTCCCAGTTGAAGGGACGCAATCTGACCAGCACGGGCAAAAAAAGGCCTTATACCCCCCCCCAACCAACCCCTATAAAGGGCCTTGTTTTAAGGGGTTACAGGGCATACAGGGTTTTAAGGTTCGCAAACCCTTGAAGGGCCTTGTTTAAGGTAGATTACTAGCCCAATGCAGGGTAGGAAGAACGGCCTTCTACTCCCCCCAACCAACCCTCTACAAAGGGCCTTTAAGGGTTTCTCTAGGGTATAAAGGGTCTTGTAGTGTTACAAGAACCCTATAAAGGGCCTTGTTTTACAAGGGTTACAGGGTATCAACCCTAGACCCGAAACCCTAAACCCTAAACCCAAAACCCTAAACCCTGAACCCGAAAAGTAGCCCAGGGCCCAAGCCATCCTCGGAGGTGCGCCGCGCAACGCCGAGGTTCATCTTCGTCTGCAGCAGCGCGGCGATGAAGTCCACGTGGCTCCTGATTTTAGCGTTTAGGGTTTAGGGTTTGGGGTTTAGGGTTTAGGGTTTAGGGTACGGGGGCAACCGAAGGGGAAAAGAAAAAGGAATCAACCCTTAACAGTTGCCTATGATGTGAATTTCCCAGATCGAACCAGAAAGAAAACTCAAGCTCAGGGCTACAGGTCAAGGAGGAAGGGACGGGACTACTACAACCCGTTAAACCCAACCCCACACACACGGACTCTACTTTTTGAACGAAACGGCCTTGATGCTTGGCCATCCTTGAGCCTTGAGCCAAATAGATAACGGGTTTTGCAACCCTTTCAATACTACCTTTTATACAAACTGCAGCTCCGCACTCCCCCTGTCCCAGGCATTGCTGGAGGTGCAGATAACGGGCCAAAAACTGCCCTTTCTTGACAGTAGCCCTCTGCTTTTTGGATGTCACAAAGCATGAAGACCAGCATTTCCCTTGAAATCTTTGAAGACAAAGCCCTGACGCCATACCACTTAATTCAGGTCAGGCTCTTGATGAGCGTAGCCTTGTCGAAGGAAAGGTCCAGGTCCACATAACGGCTGGACTGCTCCAGGGCCTTGCGCACGACGCGGTTCCCCACCAAGCACACTGGGGAAGTCGCGGCGAGGGCTGGCGCTGGTGGTGTGGGTGGTGGGAAGGGTGGAGGCGAGAGTGGGGGGAAGGGTGCAGGTTTGCTGGGAGGGGCGGCGGCGGCGTTGTGGGAAGGCGGCTGCTGGCGAGGCAGGTGGCGGCGGGAGCAGTGTGGGGAAGGTGTTGGCGCTGGTGGTGGGAAGGGTGGAGGACAGAACGGGGAAGATGGCAGGTATGCAGGGAGGGGTGGCGGCGGCGTTGTGGGGAGGGCAGCTGGTGGGAGGGGTGGTGGAGTGGGCGGCTTGGTTGCCGGGGCACGTGCAACTCCCACTGCCCGTGCCCACCATCCGTGAAGCCCCGCTTGCGCCAAAGTTTTTTGGCCAGGGTCACTGGCACCAGCGAAATGGTGCCTGACTCACCAACCCCCCCAGACGGGCCTGTCATTTGCAAAAGAGATTGCACTCAACATGACAGTCGACGCACTTTGAAACGCACTCAGAGAAAAGGCTGGAAACACGACCGGTGAGGACATTCTTAGGGGATGCAGACCAAAGGAGAAGAACAAAGCAACATGGGCAGAGAGAGAAAAAAAAAACAAAAAAACAATTGCGCCTTCAGGGCGGCCAGCCAGGCAGTCACCGTGCCTCCCCCCGTGCCCAGGGCCACGAGCACCTCGAGCCTGTGGGGAAAGGGTTGGTGCCAGGCCATGGCCGCGGTGGTTCGGCCACTGCTGGCATCCCAGGCCTGCCAGACCTGGGTGTTGGGCGCTCGCTGGCCAGTCAGCGCTGCGGCTGCGTAGGCCGGGTTGAGCCCCCCTGTCACACCCAGGGGGCACCCCGCGGCCTGCAGATCGGCCAAGGCCCGCAAAACCTGGGATATCGTTTGTCTTCCTTATGGTTGTAGAGGCTTGGCGGAAGAGCTACAGCTTCATGGCTTCGAACAAGAATGAGCGTTTCTGTGAGCCGGCTGGATTTCATGGATTTGTCGTACAAGCTCAGTACAGAAATCTGGATTCTCATTGAACGTCTAGCACAGGCTTAGAACAGGAATGACGAGCGTTTCTGTGAGCCGGCTGGCTTTTCATTGACATGTAGTATTTGCAGCACTGGAACGCTGGATTGTATTTATTTCATTTCCGCAGTTCTCATTGACTATTGATTTGTAGCACAAGCTCATATTGAAGTCGATGTTTGTTTTCTAGCACAGGCTTAGTACTGGAGTCGCCTTTTTTCGAGAGCCGGCGGGAATTTCAACAGTTTGCAGCACAAGCTTAGTACTGAAATGAACGTTTCTGTGAGGCTGGAATTTCATTGATTTATAGCACAAGCTTAGTGCTGGAATCGACGTTTCCGGGAGCCAGCGGAACGGCCACTGATTTGTAGTACAGGCTTAGTACTTGAATCGCCTTTGTTTCGAGGGCCGGCTGGAATTTCATTTCTTTGTAGTACAAGCTTAGTACTGAAACGAACAAATCCGTGGGCCGGCTGGGTTTTTCATAGTACAAGCTGATGGTACTGGAACATCGGCTGCTTGCCCTGAGACAGCAATCAAACCACATTGTAAAGATGTCGTTTGTTTCTTTTCGTGGTACGAGTCAGAAGCACAGTCTCAAACGCTTCGGGCTTTCATGAGTCGAACACATGGGGTTTTTACACAACCCCACATCAGTTGATGAACATGCTGCGGAAGCGCTCATCCACGGCTCGAAAGGTAGCTTCTGCGGGACATGCGTTTAAACATTTAAGATCATTTAAGCCTTCCTTCGAGCCCGTTTCGCATAAATTTGCACAACCCCTTCCGCAAAGCACGCCTGTCGTCTGAGGCACGTGTCCCGGGAGGTTTGGGAACGACAGCGTAGAGTGGCGTAAAGGTTTGCGTTATATGTTAGGTACTTTTGGGGTGCTTGCGAGCTTGCAGCACATTGCTGGGGTTGTCAATTGCAAGCCGGCCTTGCCCGCATCAGAAAGTTGTCCTGTGTAGGCTCGAAGCGGATTTGTTTTCGGCTCGGCGGCGCCAGCGTATAAGAAGCGAAAGCCCACGGGTTCGGAATCCTTTCAACCTTTCCGCGGAGCCACCACGGATCTTCCGCAGCCGCGCCCGCCTCCCAGTTGCAGGCGTTCAACCGAAACCCGCAGTCCTCAACCCATGCCGAAACAGCTGCTGAGCATCGGCCCCTAAAGCGCGCGCCTGGCCGGTTGACAGAACCCCAACCAGATGCACTCAAAAGAACCTGGCGGTAAAAGCTTACTTGAGACCTGCGACGTCATCCTCGATTCCCAACGAATCGCGCAACGTGAAAGCAAACCAACTACCCACCCAAAAGCCTCACAAACATTCTCCAGCACGACTGTGTTTAGGCTTCAGGGATTGATGTCTGAGTATATTGTGTGTGTGTGTGGTCGTCATGGTTGCGGATGCTATTAAACGTTCGCAGCTTCCGCGAGCTTCCACTAGAAATCGCTTCCGCGCGAACCCCGCATGCTTCCGCGGCCACAGCGTGGAGCTCATTCCGGAGCCCTGACCCCAAAACATGTCCGCACTGACTCAACTTTGAGAAAGCTCGTGAAAGAAACCGCGGCCCTGAGCCAGGCACAGCTTCGTGCCGGGCATCGTGTCGGCGCTTCTTTGGCAGGCCGACAGCACCTGTCCGTTTGTGCAGGCATCTTGAACGAGTTGTGAGCAAGGAAGACGGAGGGATGTGCAAAGCTGGAGGTCGGCAGCATACCTGCAAGAGGGCATGCAACAAGCCATTTGATTTTTTGGGCGTTGCCACACCCCACCGGCGTAAGCTTTCTGAATTTCTGAATCTACAACCCGTTGGGGTTGACTGGGCCGCACCCCGCCATAACCTTCCTGAAATTATACAGCAAATTATCTTGCCCGTTTGTGCCTAGGCTGGTGCTTCCACACAGCAGGTCAGTTGGATGGAAGTACGCGCGTGTTTCCGCATGAGGCCCCGCAAGCGTGGGCCCCACCTCGCACGAGTATCTTGAAAGTTCGAAACTCCTACCCTCGTGGTTTTTTCGCAGACCCTCACCGCTTTCCCCCCCACCGACCCCCAAGCCATCCGCGGCGTGTCTGGGGTGCTATCGCCAGCGGCGGCTTACATCCGCTGGAACCCAAACCGATGGCACAAGGTTGCCTGTCCTTCCGGGGAACATTGTCCACCTTGGCGTCCAGCTTTGTGTCGGGCTCATTGAAGCGGATGATGTCGCGCGTGAGGTTCTCCTCCTTCTCGTGCATTTGCTGGAGGGTGTTGGGGGCCTCCTCCATCCACGCAGTGATCATCCTTGCCTTCGCACGGGAGGCGTTCAGAGTGGGAATCCGAATGAGGCCAAGTATATGAGTCACAAACTGCAAGCACACACACAGACAGAGACCTCCAGATGCTCTCCAGTTCCGTGAGGACCGCATCCTGTCTCCTGCGGGCCGGGGGGGGGGGGGAGGAAGCGGCAAAGTCTTCTTGGCCTTCAAGCTGCGCAGCTACTGTATTCTCGTATCCTCGGGGTGCCACTGTTTGTCTACTTTCCCGTCAAAGTAGCTGACACATACACAAGATGGATGCTTACCTCGAGGGGCACATGGGTGCTGAAATTGCCGGAGCTCCTGCTGCTGGTCACCCACGTTCTCCTCCTCAGCCACATTGAAGAACTCGCAGTCCAGGTTCCGGGGCACTTGCTCAATGCACCTCGTTCTGCGAGAGCCGCCTACCTTCTAGCACCTGTGCGCTTGACTAAAATGCGGCGCTACTACTAGCTTTCTGTGCCAGGTTCTCTCAAATAAGCTGAGCAGCGGCCTTGCAGACAACCCCTCCTTGACCTTCTGCTTCTTCTTGGTCTTTGGACTGGTGGGACTTATGGAACAAGACGTGAGAAAGCGCTTTCTCTTCACCTTGCTCTGCATCTTCGCAAATGTGACTTCATACCTCGCTCGGAAGACACTGCCAATGATTCTGCCTCATATGTTTGCCAACACCTCTATCCCTTCTCGATGGTTAGGAGTGGCCCGTGGACAGCAGGGTTTCCCTAGAAAAGTTTGGATGTGGAATGGCCGATCAAGTACGATTCAAGATAACGGGGATCCTGAGGAAGGGTGGCACCTCCCCTGGCCTCCAAATCACAAGCCTTGATACATCTTGATACATGCTGTCGTTTCAAGCGGACGGCTCCGTCATGTCTGCGTTGACCTTTCCACGTAGAAACTTGAAAAGAGCGGCGCGGTCAAAGAAGACCCCCAAGCTCAAACAGAATCAGCTCTCACGAACTCTTGCTGGCAAGAATCTGATCTTGGAGCTTGCGTATCTGTCGCTCCAGGCTTGCAATGTGGGCAGCAATCGCGCCAGATGACTGTTCTTGTTGCTCAACGACCTTCTGGAGCAAAGCGCCCAGCCTGGGGCCAATCGCACATGCTCT